CCTCCAAAACCCCTGAGAAAATAAATTGTATCATTGCTCATCCTGAAACTATTAAAGCATCACTGATGTGCTGTTAACCTAGAGGCCAACTACACCCTTAAACTGTAGTGATGTCTGTAAGACCCAGGGCACAAAATTAAAGAAATGTGTGCAGGACTGCAGTCCATCCCTCCCCTTTGAGATGGCACCAAGGTCATGTCACATTGCACATTTTTGCGTCATTGCTTTCATAGCCAGTCAATAGTTTCTGACTCCAAAATCTATTGACCAGCTGCTGACTGGGTGAGAGGTAATTGCATAAGCTAAAGGGGAGAGCATCCCTTGGGCTGTGCTGGCATCCTGTGAGGGTGATTTCAGCACATGCTCCTCATCAAGTATTCAGACATGTTGTTTAATGTTGTGTATTTATCTGTCACTTGACAACTACATGGCCAGTTATGGTGGAAAAAACTTACGAAATATGAGCTGCACAAGGACAAAAATAATGTAAATATTTTGAGGGACAGAAGGCATAAGCTATATTTTGAAGAAAATACAATTAGACTGTCTTGTGTGACTTCCACTATTCATTTTTGTACTGTCTACTGAACTAAAATAAGGTTCAGCAAAGGGTGACTAATACTGTAAGAATATTGTAATGAGTATTAATTAATACTTTGCAATTTAAATCAGAGACAATCTGAAGTAGATCAGAAAAAAAATCTTGGGAAAAGAATGTACTACAAATGGGGTTGCTTTGTCTGCTATTCCTCACAGCACTATTAATCAGGCACTATACTCCAAGGCACAAATGATGTGATTCTGCAAGTTTTCCTGACTCTGCACTTACTAATTTTGCAAACCTATTGTTTCATTAACACTGGCTTTGTACTTGGTATTCTATCTTGAATTAGGCAACAAGAAAGGAAAGAAGAGAATTTTTTTTTGGTCTTTCTATTTCATGTAGCAGATCCCCACTCTGGGTCTGTGGAGTCCAGGCAAACTTCCTGTCACAATTCTTGCAGAAACAACGATAAAAATCTCTCAAACTGGGAGAGACCTCAGAAGGTCAGTAGTCCTACTTCCTGCTCAGGATAGGATTGGCACCAAATTTAGACCCCAGGGCTGTGTGTGGGGTGGGGTTTCCTGTCAGGTGCTTTGGGGACAGAGACTCCAAAACCTCCCTGGGCCCCTGCTGCAGTGCTTAGCTGTCCTTGTAGTGAAATGTTTTCTGTTGGGGCTTTCTTGGCTTATTTTTTAATGACTGCTTCATTTCTCGTTCCCTGGCTGTGCACCCTGGCCAAGACCCTGATTCCAACTTCTTGCTGACCTCCTTGTAGATACTGGCAGGTGTCTCAGGGCATGCTATCACCTCCCTGCCCATCTTGCATTCCATAGTTAGGCTTCGCAGAGTTCTTCTTATACTGGAAGGCCCAAATGACTGTTTAATGTTCATGTGTGGCTTTCCTTTATAGAGGCTTGTTACCACTGGGTTGCAACATCACAGGGCCATTGGCGTTGGCTCTGGGAAATGAGGAAGTTGTGAAATTGTTCCTACAAGTCTTTTATCATACTACTGAAGCAGGAGAGAAACTGTGTTCTGGAAATCAATAGCTTTCAAGAAGAATGAGGGGTTGTGCAGGATGACTTAACTGAAAATAAGCATTCAGTGTTACATTGTAGCTGTGTGGTCCTGGGATTTATAAATCGCAGTGTACTAGTATAGGGACTTGTTATTACTGCTGTCAAGAAGCATCAGTTACCATCTCCAGCTAAGGAAACAAACAGGTTCCTGGAAAAATGATCAGAGTCAGAAATGCAGCTTAAAGGTAACCCCAAACCTGGAGTCCTTAAGCACCATTCCCTGCAGAGTGTTCAGTGCCATAGACAAAATCCTTGGGGGAAGATTTGTGATTCTAGGTATGGAGTTACCATAACCTTACACTATTATAATCAGTGAGAACAATTTTCCATTAAATAAGCTTTTAAACCTTTACACAGAATAAAATACTACATGTGGAAGAGGCTTACTGGGTTTTGAAGTGGTTGTTAATTTGCCTCTTCTGTAACTGGTTGGTACTTACAGATTAAGCTGATACAGTTCTTGAGACAGCTCAAGAGCCAAGAAACTACTATTGTTGTGATTGGACACCATTACAAAAGAAGAATTTAATATATATCTGTCATGTTTTCATATTATAATTGATGCTAGAAAGTGGGAAAGATACTGTGTACCACTGCTCTTTCTAACTGCTTATGAGCTATTCCACGTGGTGTATACAGGAAAACCAGAAGATGGGGTTGCTGATAAAAAACATCTGCCTTAATGTATTCTTGTATTTAGTATAAACTATTTACATGTCTGTTCCTCCTATGTCCAAACTTATGTGTACATTGAGTATACTTGTGGAAAAACATCAAACCAGTGAGTCAATAGATCCTGGTTTCTTTGGTTTTCATTTTTATATGCTTTCTATTTTTTAAATTGTTTTCCTCAAGTTGTGGTTGAATTGTCAGTTGGCATTAGCACACACAGTGGTAAAATTAAGTGTAGTTAGAGGCTGGCTTACCAGGGCTGAACATAACTGGAAAATAACAGTGTTGTAAGCGTTTGACCCAGAGCTCAGCAAGGGCAGTAAATCAACATTAAACCAGCAAAGGCTGTTAGCGCCTGTTAAATGTTGACTGTCCCACAGAAACCATAAAGGAAAGGTGAAAATGTTTGAGTGCTGGGACACACAGAGTCCTGGCCCAAAGCAGCCCTGCTGTGCAGAGCAAGGGGCAGAGCAGCTCCTCAGCCCTGGACGCAAGATGGGAAGACAAGGTGGGTCAGAGTCCTCCCCGTGCCATCCAGAAACATCCTGCGTTTCCAGCGAGGCTGTGGCTCGAGCCAAGCCCTGGCAGTGCTGCTGGTAAATCCCTTGGCAGCTCCTCGCCTTTTGCTGTAGTTGAGGTCTCTGGTGCTGCTGTGTATTCCTGTTATTTCATGTTCAAAGCTATTTAATTTAGTATTTTGGTATTGCTGGCAGCACTAAATCTCATGCTTAGGCTTCCATAGCCACTCTGACTGGAGAACTGCCACAGCCATACCCTGTTCACTAAAGTTGATGTTTCTGGTTGTGAGCGAGCCCACAAAGGAAGTAGCCTGATTTCCGTGCTTGGTATGCAGCTCTGTTTGTGGTGTGAAACTATCTGTTCCATTTTAATAAAGTCCTTCGAGAAAAATTAATGTTGAAATGTAGGCAAATCTAAGTAGCTGTCTGTAAACCATATTGAAGGGGTTTTGCTATTTCTCCTGGACATACTGTCTAATTATATTACATGTGCTTTACAAGGAAATTCAAACTTAATTAAATGGAAATAGCAAATCTATTGAATTACAGAAGATAAATATTTTAGAGAATTTCCTAATAGTAGAATTTTAGAATAAACAACACTGTAGCCCCACTAAAATTAATACTAGTTTAAACACGTTTCACTCATGTATTGCATACATAGGCTGCTGTTGCTAAGGGTGCTGCATAAACCAGAGCATTAAGTATAAACCTTTCATTAGTAACTCTCAGCTGATAATAAATGAAGAATGGTTTCTTGAGCCAACTCTTTTCTGAGCTGTGCCTCTGATTAGTTCACAGAGGCTCTTAATGCCCCTGAAATGAGCAGGTTTTGTCATTATGTATCTAGTAGGTTTAAGTAGATCAGGACATTTTTAATACCTCTTTTCCATATTTTTAAAATACTTCTTAGTGCTTACAAAGAAATGTCTTTTTGAGGGAAGAGTAGTTAACTCAGCCCCACAGGTTTCCCAGTGAATATGTTGGGGCTGTCAGGGGGAAAGTGATCTTAAAAGGTACCTCATCAGTTCCCTTTCTCAGCAATAAAAATTTTAAAAATACACTCCCTTTCCCCTATGTTGTGTTTGGGAAATATTTTCCCATTGAACTGGAACATTTACTTTCACAGTAAATAAAGAAAGAAAATTTAAAAATTCTTTAGCCTGAACTTGGCAAAGAACTTCTCTGTTTAAAGGTACCACCAAATGTTGCTTGCCCAACAGATAGCTCTTGGGGGAGCCTGCTGCTGCCAGGTGCTGCCAAATACATTTGGTATTAGAAACTATAAAGAAGAAATTAAATACACAGCTCTTGGGGTTCTCACGTGGCTGATGATTCATTTCCTGAAATATGTGTATGACTGAATTTGGACTGATTTTGCCCAGGCCTTATGTGCCATGGCAGCATGTGAAGCTATTTTAAGAGGTTTTTCTACTCACTGGCCTGCTCAAGAAGCTGGGATATTTGTTTGTTCATATCATGTATTTTAAATATGATAGCATAAGATTGCCAGCACAAGACAATCCTAGTTTAAGATTAGCTCAGTTAAAATTAGAAGGGCCTTCAAAAATAAATGAGAGTGGTCCAGCTTGTACGGAGTTTTTGGACAGATTACATTTAGTCATCATTAGCACTCATGTGCTTGGTTTTTTTCCAGACTTTGGCAAGCCCTGCAGAGATCAGAGAATAAAAATACCTATCCAGTCTTCTGCATTCCTCATCAATCCCTGTATAATTACACCAGCATTCAGAATTTAAGAAAATCATTCCAAAATAAAAATTAGGTTTGTATTTGATGAATCAGGAACTGAATGAAGGTGCTGTCTTCTGTGTCTGTTTTTGCAATAGGAGAAAAAGTCACTTTAATTAAAGATGCTGTAGTTCTATTCAGACATTTATTTAAATAAGTGAATCAGGATGTAGAAGAGGAATCTATCTGTATTCCAGCCTTTAGCTGTGGCTTTTTTCCCTGCACGGTTGCTATGGAGAAGCATATAAATATTTGTATCACAAACTAATTTTACTTCACTTGTAAATGGCATGGAAATACAGATAAAAATGGTAAAGTTGTTGTAGGTGTGTTTTAGCATGCAGAGTAGTGTTTTGGAATAGGTTCAGGCTCAGACTAGCAGCAAAGAAAAGGTAGAAGGTGCTGTGTTGAAGCATCTGACATCTTTGTATCCCACGTTGAGTAATGGTAGTGTACACTTTATTTGCAGTTTTGTCTTTTCCAATTTTGTTGCAACATTATTAGATGCTTCTCTTTCTAGTAGCTCATATGTCACGGGCCATTTCTATGAGATCAAACACAAACGTGAAAGAAGCAACTTCAGCTCAGTAGCACATGTCTGTCCTCCACTGGGGGAATGATATAGAACCCACACAGCAAGTTGAAAGCTGCATAAATTGTTTCTTCATATGATCATTCTTATTTCTTCATGTCCAGCCCTTTCATTTCCTTGTCTCCCAAATTGCTTCCAAGGAGGCAGTGATGCTGGGCATGAGTGAATTCCAGCAGTGCTGTGCATCTCCTTGCCTCTGCTCCTCAGCCTGTCCTTTGGGCTGGTCCCACTTGTCTCCTTCCTGTGACTGTTGTCTCTGTCTTCCTTCTTCGGGGACTTCAGTCACTCTGATCATTTTTTGGTACATCATGGTGGTTCCAGCCTTCCAGACATTGCTGGGCCTCTGGCTGACAGCTGCCAGGTGATGTGTGAGAGATGCCTTCGGCACAGTTTAAACTCTTTCTTGTTGCCTCTGTAAATTCTGTGTTATGAAACATTCTCTTTAACAAGGAGCTTCACAGAGTGGCTCTGTTTTTTTAACTCAGCAGATATTTTCGTCATCTGGGATTGTTATCCTGGTTTCACGTGGAGATCTCTCTGGACATCCTAGGATAATGACAACAAAACTGGTTATCAACAGCACTGGAAATAACACCTATTACCATAGCAGCCTGCTGCCTCCTTATATCACAGGATGTTTTTATTCAATTCAACAACAACAACAAAATGAAATACTGAATAACAGTTAACAGATTGTTGCAATGGGAAGTGGGGGTAGCAGTTTGTCAGTTCATTGACCTTTTGAGATCAGCTTAAAAGCCTAAATATTTAAGGCTAAATGACTTTAAGGCATTATTCATCACAAAAATAATTAACATACAAATTGCATTCCCATATGATGAGTGTTTGGGTGGGAAAAAGTAATGCTTCTATTAAAATTGTGTATTTTGTAAAAATCAGGGACGACAGACTGGTGTTTTTTGTTTTTAAAAAGAGCTCAAGCTCTTTTTTTGGTGTGGTTTTATTACTCAGTTGGATTCTGAAGTGTCCTGCACTGGGCTCTAGCTGGTTTGTGCTATTTCTCCTGCTGCCGCTGTACTCAGAGTCTCTCTCGGTTCTTCTCTCCCTGGCAGCAAATGAAGCTGGCAGCAGAGTCCCTGAAGGAGTAAACACGGAGGAATGAGGATGACTAAGGCGGTCACATGTGAGGCGGAACCAGGGTTTGTGGTCGTGTGTGGCGCTCAGAGTGCACCCTCCACCATCTACTGAGTAGGTGGCACCTGCTTATATGAAACTTGGTAAATAATCTTTGCCTGACACTGTAAAAAACTGTATTTTCTCTTGCTCTCTTCGTTTCTCATATGCAATTGCTTGTGAAGGTAACACCAAATAAAGCACTCCAGCTTATGCCAGGTCTGGATAAAATCTGCCAGACTCCCTGTGCTTTGAGTGATTGAAAACAGATCCTGTGAGGAAGCATCCAGAAGCTAACTAGAATTTTCAGCTGCAGCTTTCTAAAGAGGAAAAGAAAAAGCAGACTGTTCTTTAATTTACTCTCCCTTATGGTTATTGCCCCTTTTGTTCCTCCATTACAACAGCTAATCAGTCCTCTATTATTTCAAAGATTTGCTTATTAGCTGCTGCTTGTCCACAGCAAATTAATTTAAGTATGTTATACATTTCATAGGGAACAATAATGGATTTCATTATTTGATCTGAGAAATAGTTGAACATAAATATTTATAGAATATGTATTATATACTCCTGTTTGCTAGTTCTCTAAACAGGTCCCAGGTAAAATCTTTCAAAAACCTAGGTAAAAAAATTTAGTAGGAAACAGATTGCTGATCAGTGACTTATGAAGCATGTTTATTTTCTAATTTACATTGGATGTTGGTATCACTCTCCTGGATTCTGAACCGTAGTATTGTATGAATGGATCTTCTGGTTAGATGAACAGTAACAGATCAATTAAACTTGATACTTGATACACCAGTACTTGTGTTTGTAGTGAATATCTGCTTTGGTTTTCCTTGCATTTCACAAAAAGGTAGCTGTCCTAAAGTTCCATTGTTTTCTGACAGTAATAGGACTGAAATCTAGAGTGTTTGCTCCTGTGACCTTGAGACAGTTTATTTTTGGCTGCTGTGATGTTCAGTTTTGGTAGATGTAACTGTGTGTGGTACTTGCTGAAATTTTGTTCACAAAAATCTGCTGCTGCCATAATTAAGGTGTTTGCTTACTTTGCACATTTCAGATTTCTGCCACAGAGCCCCCACAGCAGAGTAGTATAACTAAGCCAAAATAATATATTTTGTCTGGAACTAAAACTTAGGATTTCTCAGGCTCTGCAGGTGTGACCCAGTAAGAAATGAATGTTCCCCCGGGAAGAGGAGCAAACCTGTGCTATGGCTACTCTGTTCTTGCCTCTCCCACTGTTAGTCCCCCATGCTGCTGCTATTTCAGGGGTATCTCATGGGCTGCTGCTTTCACAGCCTGTTCCTGCGCTGTGGCTGCACAAGCTCTGCCCTGAGGATCTCTGGGGGAAGCATGTCACTCTTCCTGTAGTGCTGCAGAGATCCCAAAACCAAAGGTTTTTTTAGGAGGGGACCTGAATGTTCTCCATGAAAACTCCCCATCTTTGCAGTCTCCTGCCCACTCTGAGCTGAAGTAGCTCATGGTTCTTCAAGTTTTAACTGCCTGGTCAGTGTTTTTTAGTGAGCAGTTCCAGAGAAGAAGCATCCATGGGATGGCTTCATGTTGAGTATGTTCTTGTGGCCTTGTAGCCATTTTGGAGGGATTCTGCTGGTCTGCTAACTGATGGTTGTCTGGGAGCATGAAGGTGCTGTGTTTTGCTGATGGCAGCTGTATCAGGTGTCTGGAATAACTTTCTAAAATGGGTTAGAAAAGGAATCGTGTGTCAACTGTGATCTTGTGAAACAAGTAAGTCACCTTCTGCAAAACTGATTTAATGGTTTTAATTCATGGGGCCCGTTTCTTTTGTTTTCTGTGGATTAACAGGAAAATCTCTAGTGAGGTGTAAGTACCCAGTGACTTCAGTCATGTTGGCTGTTGCCTTTGCCTTGGGCAAATCCCTTCACTTCTGCTTAGTTTCCTTATCTCTAAACAGAGATAATACTGCTCTTAGAGATAATACTGATCTAGCTAAAGTAAGGAGGAATTCTGACCTTCCATGGTATGAGTGAGAAGTATGGGACTGCTTTGTTTTACAGGGATTAACGTTTGTTCCACATACTGGGAGAACTCTTGTTTTAGCATCACACATGCTACATGGTCACGACAGAGACTGTTTCTGTCCTGAAACACACACTTTAACCTGCTGGGAAATGTTCCCTCGTAGTGCCAAGTAGTATTTTGTCACTGAACTGAAATTTAGCTCCTATTCCTTTGTCCTGTCACTGGGGAAGGGTTCCTGTGTTTCATACTGTTTGGTACTGGATTTTGTCTTTTGGGGTTTTTATACATTCATGGTGGCATCTATTTTCATTTCTCATTTGAGAGAAAAAACTGTTTCTGTCTGTGCTCCTGAATGTATTGCTTCCTTTCTGCTGTAGTGCACCCGTAAAAATTGTGGGATGCCAGGGATGAAACTCACTGACAAAATCACTTGCCAGGTGAAAGTGTCAGAAAGAATAAGATATTTATCAGTAGCTGCCATTCACAAGGTATGGAATCTGAATGTCTGTTCCCAGGTCCATGACAGGGTCCCTTACCAGGTGACAGAGCCTCACACCTCTAGACAGCCGTGGCTCTGGACCCTTCAGGAGTGCAGACAGACAGACAGGGGTGTGTGGCAGTTCTGCCAGTGCCTGAGTCTAAGCAATAAAATAAGTTCATCTCTGGCCTCAAGCTTCAGGGAAAAACCAAGGATGAGGCTGGGGCATCCTGTTTGGGAAGATGACTATGTGGAAATAGCCCGTATCTGTCTGTCAAGACTTGGATTTACAAATCTCCTTAGCAGCAACAATAACAATCCAGGAAAGCCGTTTTTAAGAAGAGCACTCATAAATCACTTGCTGGTGATACGAAAGTTCTCTCATCAGGTACGTTGTGAGTACAGGTCTGATTGTGTGGCCCAGAGGGATGTGCTGACTCAAGATACCTACTGAGGACAACAGGAGAGGAAAACACTCCTTACATGGGAAGGTTCCTCTGTAAGCAGGCAAGCAGTTATGGGTATTTTAGCCTACCCAGACCTGAGGGAATCAGTCTTTAATCTCATTCAGAGAAATTTGAGTTTACTTCTTTTTTCATTTAAGCAAAGCCCCTGGGAACAATGCCTACTGCTGTGTTGTGCCTTCTTCAGGAAAGCTCTGCCATGCCTCAGACCCAGGAGCCGGAGGAGCGAGTGCCAGGCCAGGGCTGACAGCAGGGCCTGGTGCCTCAGTGCCAGTGCTGGACACTGGTGCTCAGAGGGGCGGCTCTCTCTGCACCCCAGCGCTTGATACAAAGCACTGTGGTCATGGCCTCTGGCATCCTGAGGGCAACGCTGGGCCTGCTCTATGAGCTCCTCAGCCCTGGCTCCCAGAGCTGCCCCAGTGCCTACAGGAGCCTGTCCCGGGCTGAGGGCATGTGGCACACAACTCTACCCAGAGAGAAAACCAGATCCTGCCTCCCCTGCTCTGTATTTCTCAAGTAAGAGCAGTGAGAGGGAGGAAATAGGAAGATCTTACACAAGGGCTTGCTGAAATGAATTCCTGAGATCTGACATGACTTGTGAGAGCCTGAAGTCTGTGTTACCTCTCTGTGCTTCTCAGGCCCTATACTTGCATTTTTCTTACAACATAATTCTTCCATCACATGGGAGAATAGAGCTAATCTCTTTCTTTATCCCTATGTAATAAGTCTTTACTCTGTCTCTAACACAGGGTTCTTGACTTCCAGAAATTGATGTCATCTGTAATACAAGCAGATGGTCCAAACTGACTCATCTTACAATTACAATTTAAAACTAAAAAAATAAATAGCCAGAGCCTGTGGAGGGAGCAGGCTAACTGCAGGGACACTGCTGTGGAAAAGGGCAGTTCAGCAGTCCCTCTAAACACTGTGACTTCAGTGGGGGACTCTGGCTGGCTGCGTGCTGTCAGCAACTCAACAAGTGAGTCATTGCTACACCTTCCCAAGTACAGTCACGTCAAGGTACTGCTCAAACGGCTTTTACTGAAAGCAAGTTATTTGGAATTAACGACAAATCAGTTCTGATTAATTCACACAAACTTAACCATAGAAAAGGCTAATGGGGTAGCTGGGTTCTCTCTGATGTTGGGGGAACTTTCCAGCTTGCCCCTATTCCCTGTTTATTGCCAGCCAGCTGCATTGGGATTTCCCTTTATTTGCTAATAAAAAAATCCTTAAAAAAAATCTGACATGAAAAATATCTGGCCTGCACCTACCTCCCAGCTACTGAGACGTTACTGCTTGGCCTTGCACTACAAGATGTGTTAACGCCTTTCCCGTTTGGGTCACAGTCTCAACCCTGTAAATTCCTTGGCCACTCTTTTCCTGCTGTCACCTCCACCCCGTTCTGCAGTGCCCCAGCCTAAAGCAGTGGTCACTTAAAGGCTTGTATTCACACAAGCTGTTCCATGCCCTTCATCCCTGTGTCCATACCTGCCCCGGCTGGTTACAGCTTGTGCTCCGGGAACAGTTAAATCACTGCAGCAGCGCAGGTTGTGCTGCTGAGCTGCTCCAACCACAGGCCACCAACAGACACCTCTGGGGTGCCTGAAGATGCCAAAGCCAGCCCGCTCCCAGGCAGCCCCGGGCACCTCACTGCAGCACGTGCTGGTGGGGCTAAGTGGGCTGGCACTGTGCTCTCCCCTGTTTTTGCTGTTACCCACTTCACATTATAATGAACAATGGTCTGAGGTTCTGCCTGAGGAACAGCTCCCTCAGCCTTGAGACAGACTCAGCATATAACTGTGACGACTGTTAAGCCCAAACGAAGGCATCTGATCACTGCAAGAGAATAACTGAATGTCCATCTGCACACAAGGCAAGGCCCCTCGCTCTCCCCAGGTGCTGCAGCGCAGGGACTGGCCTGGAGCCTGTGCCGCCCTCTCACAGCAAACGCCAGGAGACACAAACCCCATCCATGCAAGTCAT